TGGGTTTTTGATCCTCAATTCGGCCCAAATCGGACTTTCAAAAGCCAGCGAGACAGTTTCCGATGAATGGACTGTAGTGCACAGGTTATTTACGGTATTCGTTCGATCAGTGCCCCTGAGCCGGGGTACTGTTTTTACTAACGTCCATCGCATACCGGAAACTGTTCAAAAGGGGGCACTAAAATGAAACTGGAAAAGAAGAACAAAGCCTTATGTTTACCATTACCTATCATGAATCTACATTGTAAGTGATCTCTACCGAGCGAAACAACAACAAAAGAGGTCGATAAAGCCAGATGGTCTTTAGAACAAGGTCCCAAAGTAGCGCTTTCCCAAAGATGCTCGCCACTTTTCGCAACTTTCGCAACTTTCTTCATTTTCCGGAACTATTTCGCAACTTTTCCGAAAGCTAGGCGCAATTAGCCCCTTGGCATGGGGTCAAAAAGTCAAGTCACCGACTACATGTTGTACAAATGCATACAATGTCATGTACTCGTGCTCGCTCATTTCTCCCCTGCCTTCAGACTCATTTCTGAGAAACAGTAGATCAACGGTGGTCACGATAATGATGTGCATTCCCTTTTCCGTGCACTGTAATGATGTACATGTAAGATACATCCAACAGGCTACTGGCAATGTGTAAAGTGGTGGTTCACAGCAGGAAGGGGTGTACGAGTTTGCTGTCGCTGCACTTCTGCTATTTCTGCTCCCTGTTTTGTAGGATTTGCACAAGAACTCTCCAATTAAGTTTGAGTTGCGATATTCGCAAGTTTTGAACTTTTCTGAAAATATGGATGCGATTTCAGCAACTAGCACTTGTTTTGGCACGGTTGCGAAAAGCATAAGTTGCGAAAAATGATGGCAACTTTGGGAGAGGGCTATCCCACAGTGGCTGTGTAGAACTTTCCATGCATACAAGAATGGTCGTAATGAGCAGGTGGTCGCTAAATCCAGAGGTCGCTCACACCAGGTTTAGTATTAGCGTCCAGGAAAGACGTAGAGAGGCCACATCTAGTTTATGCTGCGGGTACGGTAAACACTTAAGCACTACTTACTTGTATATGTGCCCACACAAAGGCTGTGGCCCTTGGCTCCTGAGAATATAACACAAAGACAAAGCAAATCAACGGAAGAAATGAGATGGCGACGCAAATATGCTGGGAGGGGAAAGGGCGGTTGACGTGAAACAAAAGCTAAGTTATTGGTGCCACCAAAGGTGTGATTATGACTGTCTACGCTTCGCATTGTTGAAAACCCCTAACCATTGCGGCTATGGATCATCTCTCGCCACAATACACACGGAATGACTACCTGGGATATATCCCTGAGGCTGTTGTGGAGATCTGAAAAAATCTCGCGCAGTGCGTTTTGTCGAACAAGCCAACAAGGAAAGGACTAGTACAGTAGCAGTTGAAAGAGAAGTCAACACATCCAAGCGCCTTACCCCTGAGATTGGAATACCGTGAAAACGGACAGGCCATGAACCAAAGCAAAAAGACGAAGGAAAGCCCTAACTTTGTTACCGCCCCTGTTCACTTAGTGACTCTCAGATATTGCGCATGCTTTGCCCCGTAATCTAACCCCCCCCCCCCTCACCTCCAGCATGTTTTCTGTAATATTGTGTTTCTCTGCTCGCGGATCCAAGCGCAGATGCAGCTCCTAAAACGGTGGGAGGTGAGCAGATCAGGTCCACCTGCAAAGTGATCAAAGACCGAAAATCCCATTCGCGGCATCCATTTTTACCTCCTGCTAGGCCACGAGTACCCAAAATAACAGTGAGCCGAGGAACGCCCTATTGTTTGTATTATTCCGCTCCCAAGGAAGACTTGAACCTGGTACTCTCAATCATGGTGTTAGACCATCCAACTATGCTCGCGTGATGAGTTGATCAACAATGTATACTGAATTGGAATGAAGACGAAAATTCCAGCGCAGCTGTACTTATCTTTGATTCATAATTATGGTGGTTAATACACACCGGCCAATAGGCATTGGCGGATAATGCTCGAAAAGGTGGCAGATTCTGCTCGAAAAGCAGTAAAATTGGCAGAACCATACAAACCTTATGGCGGGCAATTCCTCGAATTCAGCTCCATTTCTTTATCCACATACCAAATATGCATGAAACTTACCAGAAAAAGTACCGAATTCTGCCAATTTTTCTGCTGGCATTATTCGCAAAGGCCTAACGGCCAATATTGCGGAAAATAAACGCCCGCCCATACCCGCTCTGCAAAGGGCATAATTATTCTGTGCAACTCTAGCCCGGGCTGGAGCCAGCAGGCCAGCCCGACGAGGGTGTTTACATGTGCAAGGCCGAGCTGACTGCCAGCCCGTTGTGAGTACATGTACATGTATATGCGAAGAGCACACGCCAGCCCGTTGTGAGTATGCGACGAACGCACTACTACTGTACTGTAATGGCAACTATGACCGGTATACCCTATCCTTGGTCAAGTACATACAAATATCCCTTCACTGTGCGTAGTTCGAAACTCCCCCCCCCCCCCACACACACACACGCATAATGGTTGCCTCTTTGCTTTGTCATACCACAACCATTCAATGCGATGCACCCCTCGATAGGCGATTTGCCTTTGGGTTATCCTAATAAAGTTATTGTTATTATTATTAGTGTTCTTCCCCGGGCTGAAACGCAGGGCTGCAAATCAACTCATGTCTTAACTATAGCTGAAAACATTTTTCACTTGCAAATTTTTTTTCTGCTGATATATTTTCGCCCTATGGCATATGCTTGGTGTGTTGTACTGGTACTAGTATTATCTCGCTTCTTCTTCCTTTTTCACATCTTACTTTTCCTTATAAAATAATGATTTTTTCAAGTAGTTCGCTTTCCATTGTTATTGCAAGTCAACAACTACAGAACGCCCACGTCATGTCCTTATTGTTCCTATACAAAAAATCATGCATCCAACATCATGGATACCAGAGAAATATTGGGCATCCTCTTCAAAAAGTAAAAACGATAATTATTATATAGAATATATACAGTGTGCACACCATGATCATACAACTCCTCTGTAAACAGGCAAGGGCTAGTCTGCTTCTATGTGCTGTCTCTGGCCCGCCTAGCAGGGATCCCGGGTGCCTCAGTCACGCCTCGCCAGGCCAGCCCGCTTGACATGTAAACACAAAACAGGTTTGGTGTTGATTTTGTACAAGCCCGAGATTTCAGTTGCAGGTGGGCTGTCCCGCAGGGGCTGGAGCTGCAAATACAATCTCTTCCTAAGCATCAAAGTTACTGTGGCATTTAGGAGATGACACAGCAACTGCATAAGTAACTTAGTTCCAGCAGGCCAGTCAGTGACCCCCGCCCAAAGCAAAACAATCTATGCAGGAGTCAGGTATGGCTGGAAAGCACTACCGATCATTTCACTCCTGCGATGGGGGTGAAAACACGCCCTGTGGTAACAAGTGACTAATTCGCACTGCACGGGACGCCACCTAATAATCCCTATGAGCATTACTACACTCCGTTGATGCAACGTGAAATCAGTAGTTTCCATCACAGAGGTGCGAATGGTCGAGACATCCATAGTGAGATGGTGCTCAGCATCCAATGAAGCACTTTCTAACCTTAATTTTGGCCATCACAAGAATTCAAGCGAGCTCAGTCTCTGCTCATTGATAGAGCTTGTATGTATACGTTCGAATCTGCAACCTTCATAGCTCAATTGCAGATCGGTAAGTGGAGACAGGAGTACCAAGCATCAGCTCGCACAGCCCAAGTAATTTTTCCAGCTACGTAAGCTGTTAGCTTGTTCCAGTAGAAGATATGGTGAAGATGAATATCCTACAATCAGCTCTACACGTACATTTAACATGTAGCTGCTGAGGTATACTTAGACAGGTACCTGAAATCATACTCACGGACAATGTATTGGTTTGGATCCCCCCCATGGGGCTTCACAAACATGTTCACTGGGTCTCCTTCAGGCGTACATGAAATCATCGGTGCCTCAGATGACATTGAAGGCGTGCAGCCCATTTTCGCAACGTGCTGTTGTGATCAGACGGAGTTCCTTCAACAAATGCGTGCAAACTGGATAACAACAATCTACAGTGAATGCTATCTGCTATACTAGACACGAGTTACCCGTATCTACCAAATATAGCAAGTAGCACAAAATGCGAAAAAATACCACAGTATGTGGTGCGGAATGGGATTATCTGAATACCCTCTAGACCTGTGATTCAAATCTGTGGCAGTTAGTAAGAAATATAGCACAAACCTGGGAAAAATTTGCACAGGAAATAAACTATAGGTGAGGTGAGAACTGATAGGAAATTCAGCACGTGCAGTGTGACAATGGACATGCATGTGCAAGTGTGTGTGAGTGCGAATTTACTGGAAGAGCGTAAGTGCGGTGACATTTTCTTCTTGTTTACAAAGATTCAGTTCTCACCTCACCTATAGTTTATTACCTGTGCAAATTGTTCCTAAAGTTTGTGCTATTTTTCTTACTATGCTTGTATCCTCGCTGTTTTACTCCAAGTGTATAAATGCTATTGTAGTGTCATCATTATCTTTAGTCACGAATTCCATTGATAATTCTGACAAGAAAACGTTCTGGAATACATTATATCGGCCCCATGGTTGTGATATGAGTGCACATTTAGTTATATTCATTGCATTATTAAAATTGACTCAGCTAAGAATTGACGCAGCAGCAAGCTCACGCTGCAAGATTTGCCCCCCAGTTCCCCTTACAAAGAAAAAGCACCGTCATGGATATTATGATTGATGGCGAATTCATAGTTCTCCTGAGACTCTGTATGAAGGAGTTTTACCGTACGTTTGAACTTCACCAACCTCAAGGAACAAGCCGCCGACGCAGCTCAAAAAGCGGTGGGAAGTGAACACATCAGCCCACCATCAAAGTCGTCAAAAATCCCACCCACTGCCTCCATGTTTCATTCGTGCCAGGCCACGAATTCTCAATTTCAATCCGTGTAAGTTGGGGAAAGACAATGGGAAATACTTGCTTGCAACTGCGCACCATATCGCCAAGATTCCAATTTGTTGATGGATGAAAAAGGGAAGGCGCAGCAAGACAAAATTGGGGCCATTTGTGGGATATCAACATGCCGTAGAGAAAAGGTTTACTAAAAGAAATGCGCAGGCAAGCATGCAGACTGCATGCTATTTTCACAATATTCATAGTAAAAAGGGACAGAGGCTGAAGAATAGCTATGAGATGAGGAAAGGGGCGTAAAAATGAGATGAAGAGTGAGTATGGTTATACATATGTGGAGACATCGGGATCAAGAGAGAGCGTGAGACAGACAGACAGACAGACAGACAGACAGACAGACAGACAGACAGACAGAGAAACAGGCAGACAGATAGAGAAACAGGCAGACAGACAGACATACAGAGAGACGACAGACAGACAGAGAGCTGAGCTTAGACAGGCTTCATTTTTTTCACACAGTTTCCAATATGAAAGTGGTCGCAAGGTCACCCGCTTGGTCTAGCGGAAGAGGGATAATCATTCCATTAACGCTACTGACGGCAAGAACGATTGAGTCGTCAAACGCTGAATGGAAGCGGCTTTGTTGCGCGTTCTCATCGCCCGAGCCTGAAATGGATTTCTGGATGAAGTACCATTTGGTTTCGCCTAAGGCGTCCTCAGGAGAACCGGGGAAACCCATCATTTCCACTTTCCACTCCCATGAAGGGTCGCTGATAGGGGAATTCTTGTTGAGCTGCGATCCAACAAAATCCGGCCAACGTTGGAAATCACTGGTTTTTGAATCTCTCGTCGCCTTCTGGAAAACGGTCCTTACTTCTTCGGGACCAGACGCAGTCGACACGGCGAAAACACCGGAGTCGGGAGGAGCTGAAATCAGAAAAAACACGGCAAGGACAAACATTTATATCCTGTGCAGTACGAAAATGCTGGATGAAACACGGCTAAAGAACATTGCCTACAAATACATGTGTACGTACTAGGGAATGTACTTATACGCGTAAGCGAAATACGAAAAGGATTGGAAGAATCATGGCTACAGACTAGCACAGCAGATATCTATCTCATCAGCAGCCACTCAAGTGGCTTTGAAGTAAAGTTGGCCTTGTCCGTGTCGCGGGTATGGTGCGGTACTTACTCGTCCATTATTATTTAGAGAAGAACAGGGTGCGTATACCCCGCAATTGGTCAATAGGGGTGATGCTCTAGTGCTCTCGTGCTTATCGTCGAGGGATTAGTTCTGTTCCATTTCCGGACGTTTATCACCAACACCAGTCTATTTCAGCCAACGCGTAGCCCGCGGTTTGCGATTTTTTGTCTTACTCACTATCAAGAGGACGCACACCAACATTATCATCATCTCCATTCTTCACTTGGTAGTTGTCTGGGTCGGTGGACAGGAGACTGCGCTCTTGAACATTTATCCTTTCGAATTGGCACATGTTGTCACATGTTGCACGTTGATACTATTAGTGTATTGTAGTTACGAATTGTGTACAGAACTGTCACATGCTGCAAGGGCAGTATTGTCAAGACATGCTAGGTCGCTTGCAATATTGGTGCGGTGTGTATTACTGCTATGCATTTCGCGAGTGTAATAATTATTTGTTAGTCTGTTAGAATTACATCACGAGTGCATATCTGTTACGTCTACGTCGAAGCACATTTTATGATACAGTAATTGCTATGCGTGTTCGTACCACGACATGTTCACGAGCGGAATATCTTGTGAATTGTTCTAATTTATTATATAAGTAGAATTGTTGACACACTAATTGGTTGCAATGTACATGTACTTACTAGTACTTGATCAGTTGCATTATCGCCATCCGCGGCAACTCCGCTACGATCTACTTGGCGAAACTTACTCTCGCTGACAGGGTGTGCTGTCATCCTGTCGCTGGATGCAAGCACCCCTTGACAGACACTGTTTTCACCTCCGTAATCAACAATTCTTTATTCTTTCATTTCAGCACATTGCAAGTACATGTAACTAGTTTCTGCTTGTTCTGTATTCAAATTATTGCTTTTCTTTTCGTTGCATGCACCTGCAATCCGCGCTGCATGCACGCGGACTTTGGCAGTCGCCAAATTTAGTATCTCTATGGCTACGATGATTCATGCATTTTCTGTACCGTGCATTTCCTCTCTATGCCACGTCGGTGTGTGCATGCATGCAGCGCAAGCCAAATGCACGCACGCTGCACGTTTTGCTCAGGACAGCGATTTGGCGATCGTTGTTCGGTGTGTTCTTTGGTGTTCTTGTTGAGAACGAGTGGTAATGTCGATTAAAAGAGTTTCTGGGTTTTTTTGGTCCGCCTGACGATGGTTAGTTGCGGGACCAAGTCGCACCGCAACATTCGGTATCTCTTGCATGTTCGATGAGAACTTTATCATCCCTTGAATCGTCTGCTTACTTCTTTATTTCACTTTTCACATTCAGATCAACCAGAAGTGGTGAGCACAGTTGATCTGTCCCTGGGCAAAGCAAATTCACTGCATCAGAATTACTGAATCAACGAACTGTGTTGTGAATTTGCAGTGCTCAGGGAAGGAGCATTTGTGCTCACCACTTCTTTTCGAGTGAGGAGGCTGCAGGATGCCCAACCCATACAATCCTTACGTTTACACTTTGCTTTGTGAGTATATAAACCAATACTGATCCAGATTTCCCATAACTGTTTTCTGATAATCGCTTAGTGCGTGAAACTCTGAGTAAAAACACTTCCTCTGTCCTCCGATTGTTTCAATCCTTACGTTTAGATTGCCAGGAATAGGTGGCGCTATGACAAGGTCCTGAAGGGTGTTTGAGTTCTCAACAACGTCCTCAGCTTCTACTGGAATCACTATTCTTGACTTCAGATGGGACTCTGCTACTATAGACATTTCCCTCTGCCATACAGCTTTACAGCTAAAGCGATATTTCCAGAACGTTTTTTCGTGACTATCATCGAGATTCAAGAGCGTCGTCCGGAGATCAATACATGGATCTCCTTCGGATGGCCATTGAAAATGCTAGCACCCTCTCAGTGGAGCTACTGAATCTTGCTGTGTCTTTACTGGGTTGTACAAACAATAGACACCCTTAGCAAACAACGTTATGTTGTAACTGTATTACCGTAAGGGGGAAAATACCGTGATTTGGGCTCGACCTTTAGCAAGATGCACGCTATGTTTAGTACGCTGTTGCCACGAGAATAGCTTTTAGTTCGGTCGGTACAACCATTAATGTCACCATATACGCGATACAAGGTGAACTGCGCACGGATTATGCAATATTTGGCCAAAAAACGTACCGTTGGTCACAACGATAAATCAGAAACCGGAACTTTTTTACGCTGCAGCTTCAACGCTATTTGGGTGATCAAGATACGAGTACCGTAAAAAAAATAGCGTTGCCGTTGTTTGCTAAGGGTGTCTAGCGAGTGCGGTGTAGACTTTTGTTCACAAATTTCCTGCACTTTATCTCACGCTTGCATTCCCAATCTTTCAGCGCGCTTCTTCTTTTCCGTTGTACATCATACACTCAATTTCACACCTCTATTCCGTGTTTGGTTTGTTCTGTACATGGAAATTCACACCTTCTCGCTTGCCTTCGTTAAGACCAGGTTCGCTGATTGTAAATTGTTCTGAACATGGGTGACTGCTTTGAACTGGCTCTAGACAAGAAAAATGGCTGATGCTTGTGGTAAAATGTGCTGCGCTTGCGTAGTTGTTCTTACTGCGAAACGCTCTAACAATAACGAGATGCCTTTTGCTGGCTCTTCTGCCTAGATTTCATTGACAGATGCGTTAAGCCCATGGATCCTTCCATGAGTGACATGCGAACTGTAACTATTATTACGGAGGATTAGCAAGACCAACTTCGCGTTCGCCTTCGCTCTCCAAGGAAAGTTGAACTCCGACGGGATTCGCGTTATGAGAAGGATTAGCAAACAGAATTCGCACATGCATGACGTTGACGCGACGTACATTGTGTACAGACAGTACAGCGTGGTAAATTTATGACGGCCCTGACACGAATCCGCGATTTGTGTTCCGACTACTTTTCCGAACGAAAAATGCGAAAGTTCGCAATCCAGTTCGTGAACTGAAAAATGTTTGCGAACGCGAACGCGAATTTCGTCTTGCTAATCCTTAGTAGGGTGACTATGATTATGGGTGACTGTTCCGAAACGTCATCATTTTTCGACATCACTAACAACATAATTTTTCATCCAACGCATGCGCCAAGTGTGAACAGCAAATGAAGAGAGCGGTTTTCAGTTCACAGCCCCCCCCCCCTTTCATTTGCAATGCATTTTCCTGAATTCCAACTCTTTTTGAGCAAAATAGCTCCGAAAGGGGATATGGCAAAGGAATCGTAATAGATAGGATATTGACCTCGACTTCGGGCTCTAAGGGAATTATGAATATCGGTGAACCTCGATCTTTTACTCAGCTTATGTTTCCTATGTAAACCATATTTTGGTCAATATCCTATACTTATCCAACTAATATCGAATATTTGTAAGAAAGGGTTTGCTCCCCACACCGGAGCTCGCGCTATTCTGCCGACTTTACTTGACACTTGACCCTTTCTTACAAATCATCGCCGAAGTCGCAACCACTACTTCGTAATATCGAATGTTGTTTAGAAAAAATAGTTTTGTGCAGCTGCAACTTCATGTGCCCATCTATGTGCATACAATCACACACTACAAGGCCACAACACCGGTACTGATACGACTACCGCAGATCGACACGTTTAAAGCGGCCAGGCATTTACATATCACTAGATCGGTTCCAGAATCAAGAAGGTTAATATTTGAACAGAGTGTCGGCATGTGTCGCAGAATAAGCGCAACCATCTATCGACGTATTAACGTACTTTTAAACCGCTCTATTCCTGGAAACGAGTACTCGAAAGCGGAAATACTCGTGCTATCCCGTTTCTAAACGAATGTGGATCGAAAATTAGAATATTTCTTTCAAACAAACTTCAAGCCCAGCCGGTTTTCCGCGTTACGCCGTTCAAGCTATCGATAATGCCCGTTACTGAATTTTGCTCCATGCTAGTGGTGTGTACTGGCAAATACCGCTGTGTGATGACTCGAAGTCGCTCACAGCATTTACCGTGCCCTGAGGTTGGTATCGCACATGTAGCCACTAACCGCCTCGCTAAAATCGTCAAAAGTCGTTGAGAATGGCCTAGTAAATAGCGTCGACATCCCAGTTTACTATTCTGCAATGTATTTCTGCAGCGAACAGAAGAAAGCACTTGATGATATGACTTACCTGGACCTTCCTCCGCATACAATTGACCGTCCTCTGTCCCTGAAAGCAAGAGAGGAGAGAGGACGCACAAATGATATTAAACCTTTGGAACCAGATCATTATACTCAAGTATAAAGATGAATGTAAAAAAGAGATACAAAGAATCTACGTGGAGATAAAAGTTTAATAATAGCTATGAAAAGTATGAATGCCGCAGACATCACCACGCAACATGACAATTTGTTCAAGGTTTGGTTTTGTGTGTTTCCAAAATTTCCCGACACTGTTTAAGAAAAGAAATATTCAATGAACCTTTATCTCCACGTAGATTATTTGTATATTTTAAGCGGAGATACTCTAGAGAACAGATAGATACTCTGAATAACGCCCTGCGGAAACGCCATGTTTGTCGTTGCATTTCATTGAATATTTCTTTTCTTTAACAGTGTCGGGAAATTTTGGAAACACACAAAACCAAACCTTGAACAAATTGTCATGTTGCGTGGCGATGTCTGCGGCATTCATACTTTTCATAGCTATTAGTGAAAAAGAGAAGAAAAAATTGAGAACTAGTTATGCAGCAACCATCCACGACTGTAACAAGATGATAAACGGTCAAAAAGTGCGATAATATGCCCCAAAACGGACAGGCTGCTGAGACATTCAGTATCCGAGTTTAAATAAAAAGGAATAGCCACTTTAATCAAATATGTTGTCTATGAACGAAGCGTTTTAACCCTAGAACTACCGGAGGCATTATACTGGTATGATGCAGTTGCGAATTTTAAACTAGGATTTCTCGGATATGGAGGGTTAGAGAAAACTATATACACAGCTCGCATCTTCCCTGAACCTGTTAGACATGAGCAGGGTCGACACATAATTGTGTCAACAGTGTTAGGCCTAGTCAGCCTATTGTTTGCAGCTAGGAGAGCGCTTTCCCCATAGAGATCCGCTGCCTTCAAGTCAGGCTGAATCGTATTTATCCACCGGAATAGTGGTCGACCAAGTTTTTTTAGATCGTTTGTATCGATGGATAGTCCCAGTGTTGAAACCAGGCAGATTTCGGACCCTCGGGGCCAGTCGTCACTCTGCACCTGTTTCCTATCACCCTGTCTCCCTGCTTCCCACCTGACTCATAATCACAGTCGACTAGTCATAGCTTGCTACTGCCCAGCGCCCTGCCATCCGTGCAGATGGCGAATTTCCGCCTAGCGCCTGATCTGTAATATGCCGCCTCCCTGCCTTGTGCTTGGCTCGTACTGTGCTCCGTTCCAACGCAACATCATCATTGACATCAATGCAAGCCAGCTTTACACCTGGCTTTTTTGGGTTTTTTCTGCCTCCCCGTTAGCAGAATAGATCGCGCGCTTCGGGCAGAGCAGGCACATATTTAAACCGCCCGTTTGCAGCCTTAGGGACATCATTGACTACCTGAAGAAGGCCATTGGCCGAAACGTTGTATATAATGGAATGGTTCGGAAATTTGCAGAGTATTCTGGAATGGGTGAGTTCACCCAATTGTATCTTTTATTTATAATCGTTCAACCAAACAGGCAATGGTGCCTTCTCACCAGGAGGCGACTTAGACGAGGAGGGGGCAGACAGTGAATGGGAAGGGGAGAAAAAACAGGCACAGAAGGGAGATAGAATGGAGTGGATAATGTAGTATAGATTAGGAAACAGGAGTAAGATCCAGATCTTTTCACAGACCAAAACTGTTTTTCAACTGGGAGAATAAGGAGGTCTTGCGAGCGCAATGTATCACGCCACTGGTTCTTCTCTCCCTTGGTTCGAAGTTCGGCCAAGAGACTGTTCCACAATCCGGTTCACACACTGGATTGACGATCGGGTATGGGCCTCTTAGGAAGGGTATTTGCAGGAGATTGAAACCACGAGTTATGCGACGTTTAGGCGTGAATGCAGCTTGTATGGAAGGTCAGCATAATTACGGGTAACCCAAAGGCTGGAGTGTTTTTTTTGTTGACATGAACTTTATAAATTGTGTTTGAATGGCCGACGCCGGTCGCAAAAAAAGGCGCTGTGCGCCTGACTTCATCTCGACTTTGTGGGTTATCGCTTTGGAAGTGTATTTGTTCATATTATCCTTATAAAGTCGACGTACTATGACCTTTCGATCGCATGATATTCCACCGGACTTACGTTTCACGTACAGTATAGTTCTCTTCGTCTCAGTCACCTTCTCTGTTTTCCAGTACATAAACTCTGTTTCATTGCGAACGGGAGTGGCGCAGGGTCGACACGAGCGTTGGTCGGCCATTCTAATCAAGCTTCACACACTTGAGATGTCCGCCTGAGTCGGAACAAAGCTTACTAGTCTAAACTAAACACACGTGGCTCTGATTTGGTAATGGCAAGCACACGCCACTTCTACAGAGCAGGTCTCCTTGCGATACAGAGGTGAGCCAGGCAAATAAAACGCGGGGTCGTGTTGGATTCACTGAAAAGAAATCAGCGCACTGAAGCCTGGCTGGGGTGGGAACATGCCAAGCTATGACAGCTAGTTTTGAAGATTGTCGCAATGGCAGGGGACAGATGCAATTTCGACAACTGACAGAATGTTCGTGCATCATCATAATCACGTGATGACGTAGTCTTGGATTATTACCAGAACTCGATGTCACGTGCATCACCGCTGTCAAGGGAATCAAAACGCGCCATTTGACCTGTGTTGACCTGACCTGTCCATGAGTGTAAACCTGCATCCAGCTGAAATTGGCTGATTCAAGAATCTGACTATTTGAAAACTTGACTGAGATACATTGATTGGCTAAATCTCAAACTCACTGGCCCAAGTGTTGAAAACCCCTTTATTCGAATTTACTCCTTTTATTATTATTGTTCACACATATCCGCCGGATGAGTACGCGTGGCCCATGCACCATGGGGACCCACGAATACAAACCAGCATATGTTCCCTCAGCAATACAAGCAAGCAAGCAAAGATAAAGAGAGCCCAGGCAGCGAAAACAAAACGAAGAGAGATGAGGACATAGGCAACGAAAACAGTTCCAAAGCGTAGCCAGGGATTGAATGTGTGCATCTGTACAGAGCGCAGCAGCAGCACGAAAATACAAAAGTGCCACAGCAGCAGGCAAGAGTATCAGTTGTGCTATTCTGCGTAGACAAGCGCTGACTCGTGTTAGCTGGAAGCGCTTGAAAATTCACAACTTCAAACAGCGATCGATCGCGCTTGGTTGAAATATCTATTTGTTGCGTGGGCAGATAGAGCAGCTCATGGTCGCAGTAGTGAATTTCCTGGAGTTCATGAGGCCAAGCAAGAACTACTCGAGGTAGAGGACCAGTTATTTAGGCCTCGACATGGCGAGTGGCGTCGACGCCAACTCAGAAATGGCTGTGATTACCTGTCAAAATTTTAGCCAAAGAAGTAGACAAGGAGCAGAGGCATTTACATGGACAACGTACGATGGTGGTTTGCAACATGCTACTACTGCTGGAGCGACGTTGAGTGCAGGGACGATCGTTGATCATCTACGCTTGTGGCCTTTGATGTGGATATGAAGATTTTATGCCAACTGTGAGTTCGTTATGCACCACATCTGCTGTGCACGTGGCATTACCCTATCTCAGGGAGAAATCATCAACCCAGAGTCATTCTGGGTAAAACTATTCCTGATAGCTGTGCAGGCCAGCACAAGAACCAGTACGCTGCACTAAACAAGGTGCTTATGTTCATGTGCTTGATGGTCAATGGAATGAGTTCAACTGAAAGCAACGGTTCCGCAGGTCTTAGACAACCTCAGCAAGGTGGTCGGCCCAGCAACAGTGGTGACAGTACTTGGCATAGAAGTCGACAGCGTGAACCAGGTGACGCGGCTACCTGACCAGAAGTTATTTGCCTTTCTAGCGGCTTTGAGTGAGTAGTCCACTTGCTCTAGCTACACAACACGGGAACTGCTGTTGCAGATCGGAACCTTGTCCTTGCCGCAAAGGTTGTTCCTCCTGGCAGGACCTTCATCCGTCAACTCTTGTATCTTAGCTGGACAACTCTGTCTCTTCAGTCAGTAGTGAACATCGACACAGAAGCTCACTTGGACATGGAATTGTCGCGCTCTTTGCCGCAAACTGGAATGGCCAATCCTTCTTCTACGATGTCGAGTGTTCAAAGTCCCCTGACCTTGAGCTATTCACGGATGCCTCTGATGTTGGCTTCTGCGGTTTCTATCAGGGACAATCGTTTTTGGGGCAATGGGCCGCTGAGATGCAGCATGAACCTATTGTGATTACTCGATTCCGAGAACTGGCTTCCACAGCCAACCAATACCTGGTGCCAACTCCTCCGCTGAACTCGCCGCTCTGATTGCTGCCAGCAATGATCTCATGAGCGACTCAGACCATTAAGCCCAGTATTTGCGCACACATAATCTGATGTACCCAGTTTCGGCTATGGCCGAGTTACGGTCCCTGACCGCTACTGCCGGCAGCTCACGGCCAGTGTTTGTGTTCGTCGACGGCAGCTACGTCTCCCGTATTTGCTCGACCAAGATCCTCAACTGCAACCGGGCGAGCTCTCATTCTGTGCGCATTGGCGGGGCCACACTCATGGCTCACCGGAGTACAAGTGTCTGTGAAGCAGCCATATGCCGTGCAGGCTGCTGGTGAAGTGCAGCATCCGATCACTATGTCAGGCGTGCAGCCGGTTTGCACTCTGTGCAATGGCTAGCAGCAAAGACTGGAACAGCCCACGCCCATGTGGTGATGAGAACAGAAGTGAGGTACATTTGTAGTGTTGTACAGTGTCGTGCCGTCCGCGTGTTGTGCAGTCCTTGTGCCGGTGTGGCTCTGTGGGTATCACCTAGGGGTTTGCCATGGTTACTTGTAGGAAGTTATGCTAGTGAGCGATGCCGTGAGAAATGCTTGGTCGTAAACACTGGTGTTTGGGAGGGTCAAATGCATTTGCCTCTCAGTGTTGTGCTGTACTGTCTCAGTGTTGTGACACCTGTATGTTGTTGTGTGGTTGACCCGCCAGTTTGAGGCATGGGTGGTCAACTGTGTATGTTGTATCGGTGTGTTCCCGTTTGAAGTTGCCGGGCCACCATGTGGTTGACATGCCGGTTTGAGGCATGGGTGGTCAACTGTGTCTGTTGTATCGGTGTGTTCCCATTTGAAGTTGCCGGGCCACCATGTGGTTGACCCGCCGGTTTGAGGCATGGGTGGTCAACTGGGTCTGTTGTATCGGTGTGTTCCCTTTTGAAGTTGCCGGGCCACCAGGTGGTTGACCCGCCGGTTTGAGGCATGGGTGGTCAACTGTGTCTGTTGTAACGGTGTGTTCCCTTTTGAAGTTGCCGGGCCACCAGGTGGTTGACCCGCCGGTTTGAGGCATGGGTGATCAACCGTGTATGTGTATCATTGAAGTTGCAATACGTACATTGCTGTGACTCGCCCGATTGCTGTTGCCGGGCACCTACGCATTTATTTGCCTACTTGTGAAGAGATATCTCTTCTGGTTTATTGCATAATTCTTGGCTCAATGTTATCCACGGTGTCTCTCGATGCAAAGTCTCGTAAATATTTATCAGACGAAATTGAAAGAAAAAACTATGGCAAACCCGACTTCCTTGTATTCTATCTGCTTGATGTCCATCTGTCCACGTTTTGTACGTTTGGCTCGCACATGCGTGTGTGTGTGTGTGTGTGTGTGTATGTGTGAGCGTGTCTGGATACATGTGCATATTGATGTTTTGTTTGTTTTAAGTTTTATTGTGTGTATGCGTGCATGCATGTGGGTTAATTCTAATTTCCATTCGAAGGAGGTTCTGTAAAGTCGAGGGTGCCACCTTTCAATGAATTCATTAAAAATCAAAATTACTGTTGTGGACATATTTGCATCCTTTAATCGCTGCACATAAGCATGCGACTTAAAAAAACATGACTGACAATGACGTCTTTTCAGTATGTATGCGAGTGGTGCGGAAAGCCTCACTGGATGTACAATTATTATGTGTATGAGCTCCAATCTCTGCTGAGTTACCCCAACGTCCCTGGCCCATATTAGGCATTTCCCAAACCGGCCGGCCAAAATATTCGCCGGAAACTGTGGTTTGGAAGAACTCACCAATTTTGTCGCTGATTATTCAAGTTTCGCACTGAATAGACCCAATCCCGAAAATATTGTCTGCGTTCGTGAAAGGGGGCACGCGTGCAAGCCAGCTCGTGTGAAGTGCATCGTTTTGTATTTAGTTTGTATGTGTAAGCTCATGGCGGAGGAGAGAGAGACTTTTGCTCGCCAAGCTGGAGTTAAAGGATTTGATGAGGTGCTGGCAGCAGCTATTCAAAGGATCGTCGAAACCTTAGGCAAACCTTGACGGAGTTTGGAGGCCAGCTAGCTCTCGGCGTGGAGAGGAACATTCGCGAGGCGATCGACTCTCCGTAAAAGATAAAAGCTACATAGCGATGATATACCGCAACAGATACGATTTCAACTTACTTCTCGATCTGCTGCTTCACAAACTTCAATTATTTACAAGTCCTGACTGTTGTAGCGTGAAGCTGGAGTCGCATCACCCACCTACAGGTAGCTTTTGGAGCTGATGGATTTTCCGACGTGGACTTCTTCCGAAAACGCTCGCAAAATTACTACAGTGTATGCTGTGTTTCCGTACGCTCGTGTCGACATGTCACCTACTGTACATGTACCGGATCGCGGAGGCGAAGGAGCTTGAAGACCTCTGCTTACTCTAGGTAGCCGAAATACCGCCGTCGTCTTTGTTCTTATACCTGGAGACATTTGCCCCTTCCAGAGCCTGCGCTTAGTTGTCGTCCCGGGGGTAGAGACTATGTTGTCTTTCGAAAAAGTTCTTGATCATGCTCGCGCGAATGATGATTCTCATCATTAACTCGTTCCGACGGTGTGACATGTCGATGGTCTTTGGCGGGGCACTGGCTCAGCGAAAACGCAATATTGTTCTTCAGTAAAACATTGATCGGCTACAGATGAGTACAGTCACTTCGTGGTTGGTCCTATAGGATGAAACCTGGCAGGAAAGAGGTAGGACCCATCGAAGATGAAGCGCTCGCAACAAACAATAGCACTCGAAATATCTCGGAAGATTTAGGGCTTATCGCTTAGAGCCACAGCGCTCTCGGCATTCCCAACTTCATCAAAGTGAGCTCTACAGGTTCGTTTACCTCTTTATACCACACAGGGTGAGCGAAACAAGGATTATGGCTTAGCATTTCGACTCCAACAGCAGAACATTACCATTGCGAGAGAGAAAACCCACAAAGGGCTTTGATTTCTGTCGCATGGTATTCCGATGGTTCACCGAAACCGCGCTCACAGAACGACCATTCACATAACGACGTTTCACTGAAGGACATTTCACTGATTGTCAGATTTAGCGACTGTTCCCTTCTTCGAAAATCAGGTTCATCGAGAACATGTTAGTAGTAAGTGCGG